ATTATTAATATTATTCTTATGTAAATTAACTTTGCGATATAATGCTTATATTAATTATTGGTAGTATATTTAATGTTGTAATAAGTATTGATGCTATATCCCGACATTTTGTCGGTAATAATATTGTGTGCGATGTTATTTTTCTATGTTTGAAACCTTAAATTAAGAAAATCCTATGGGTCGCAATTTTATTAGCATTATTAGGTTATAAGGACATTTCCCGTTTCCATTTGCCATTAGGTATCTCGGTTTGTAATTAGAAAAGTGTTTTAATACTGGTATTAAAGTAATGATAGTTTTTGATTTGGTATTTTATGATAAATTTCAGTTTTATATTTATGGTTCATTAAGTATACTAGTATGATCTTTTATTTCGGCCTGAAGCCTCGCTTGAGCGTATTAAAGTGATATTTAAAAAAAAAAATTAGGTGTGAATTGTAGTTGATTTCGTGTAATACAGTAATATTGTGTATAAGGATTGTTTGCAAAAATTCGATAATTGTTTATGGGATATGTGGAAATATTGTTAATGTTAGGAAATTATACTATTTGTTATTTTACGCATTATTTTTTGTGAAATAATTGTAATGGTTTGTTTACTGCATTATTAAAATTATAAAAGGGTGATACTTTTATACTAAATTTGATTTTGTTATCTTATTGTTTTTATAATATTTGTTATAAAGATTCATAATGTTATATGATTAGCTTGGCGAATATTATTATTATGTTGTTTAATGAAAACCTATTCTTGTTAAGTTCATTGCTATATTTATATAATTTTATCGGTTTCAATATTATATATTTGGCTTATATAAGAGCGTTATTTATTTATTAATGCTCTATTTATTAGCATTAATATTATTTTTATTATTATATGTTAGGCCTATGTGTATTGCCCTTTATAAATATATATATATTTTTAGCATGTATTATTATATGAGTGGCCTTTATTTTATAGGTGTTATGTATATTATTGTTATTATTATAAAAATGAACTATGTTAGAACAATATTATTTTTGTATTCAAAATTTATGTTGGTATGATGCAGTGGTTATAATGTTAAAGTTATCTACATCTATAATAAGATAGTATATAGATCTATAGTATGATATTCACCAAGATATGTAAAAAATAAAATCGAAATTAAGTATTAGTGTATTAAAAGAGTTACATTTCCTCAGTGTATTGACAAAGCTGAAATTATTAAGTGTTTATGTTTGTGAAAATTTGGATATGTTACAAAAAAACATTTTGTAGGTTTATATATTTATTAAATATTTAAGTTTGTAAGCAAATTAGGCATTTTTGAGAGTTTTGTAATGAAAAATTTAACGATATTTTTAAGAGTTTTATGTCTGGTTTACAAAGAGAAGTTTTCTCACCCCTGTTAAGTGTTCTACAGAAAAATCGGTCGGGGCTCAATTACCCGTGTATTGCCGTGTTAATCTCGCTTAGATCATTTAATGACCTGGTTGGCGTCTCTGTAATTCTGTCATAACAGTATTCAAGGGTGCCTTCTAATTGACTTGAGTTGTTTCGTTCATAAGTACTATATGTATGTTTAGATTCCATTTAAAACGTTTTATCGGATGTTAGTTATATATTAGTGTAGTATGTATACTCTAATAGTTGTAATATTTTCAAAAATGGTTTTTGAATTGTAGAATGAAAAATAAAACTTCTAGTTATATCAGTTAACAGAATTGTATGACAATATTTGATTATTTTTTTAACTTTAATGTCAGTATTTTTAAGAGTTCGTATGTTTATTTAATATATAATTTACTTAATGTTTTATATTTATATTTCTTGTAATTTTACCAAGTTTTTGTAGTTGTGAAAAAATTGGGCAGCGGTTTTTTTCGGACGAAGCCAAAAATTTTTGTGATTTGTGGAATAAAAGCTTTTTACGTTGGGCGCCATTTTGTAATAGAAGAAAAGCACGGGGAAGCGGCGGTGAATGGGTATTTTAAATATATATGAAAAAGTCTCTTAATCGGGGTGTGCATGTGTGTATATTTACTACAAGAGCCCACTTCCTGCCTCTAGACTTACTATTACACAGTGTTATAATATTGTATATAGTACATACCTTGTCGTGGAGTTACTCGAAGCTCTATGACCTTGTCGATATTCCTTGAGTATGTGATCTTGATATGTAACGTTGTTCTAACGCGAATGTTTTCGTTCATAAAATATTTCAGACACTGGTGTTTTAACGTTATCTTACGACAATCTGTTCCTCGTTAAAGTGTAATTCAGTACACGGTCTACCAATGGTTTTATAATAATCAATGCGCTTGTCAGAAATAACAACGTCTACTGAGTTATTATAAGCCGACTACATTCCTTGCTGACCAAAAATAGTCACATGGGTGTAATAGGATTGTTCGACCGCTAGAATTAATGTCCTTTAACGATACCTTTAAGAGGAAAGTAATTAGGTATAGGTATATGTATATATAATGAACGAAAGAACAACAGTGTTTTTGTTGGTTAATAATGACACGTGTGTGATAAGAAACTCGTACGGTTTAAAGTATTTAAGTGATTGAATTGTGATGAATATAGTATTTTTTATGTATCGCGACGGACTTGGCGTATGAGTGTGTAAGGATAATAAGGAAGGATTAGGATATTGGTGGCCGCGGCGGACTGATAACAGCTACCCGACTTTGGCGTCCACACAATAAGGAAAGGAAGGTTGAATGAGAGATGTAAGAAGACAACTGCGCTTCGCTGCGCCGTAGGCTGGGTTAAATAGTGCGTTTTTGTGTTGGTTAAGTTCGTGTCGAGTCGTGTGTCCGACCACTTCTTTAATGAACTTATTGTTATGTAAATGTTACGCCTCTCATGAGTATGTACGCTATCTATTAGAGTATTTAAAGTTTATTGAAATTATTCAAAGAGGTTCTATATCACACTACGCGCGTTGTATATTGAATAATAATAACATGATAGTTACGAGTATATAAAAATGTCACATATAGTATAAATTTGAATGTATAACATGTTATTACAAAATGATAGTTTAATAAATATAGTTAAAACTTAAACATATGATTTATGTTACTACACTGAGCTTGTTGGAATTGTGCTTGGTTCGGACTGTACTGGTTTATACTGTGCGTGATTCTTACTATTTCCAGATTCGCATTGAAGCGTTCAATTGTGATAAAATCACATTGAGACTTAATAATCAATATGAACTTTGATCTCTTCTTTTGTGCTGGCTTATAATTTGCTGGTTTGGGCTGTTGGATTTTTTTTTCAGTTTAACTGTAGCAAAATTAGTATAAAAAATGATTGTAATTTAATAAAACTGGCTGCATGGCTAAAATATATCACTGGCTAGATACAAAAATACAAAAATTACAATTTACAAAACCTTAATATGAGTGTACAAAATGTAGATTTACGATCATTGATGATTTTTTTAATTTAATTCAGTGAACTTTATCGAATTATAATATAACTGTATTATGTTATGTTTTTTAGGATGATAATTAACAATTTATTGTCTTATATAATTAATCAAAATGAAATAATAAAATGTTGAATTAATTGGGTTACTTAAATCCATATAATTATACATTTTATTTAAATATAGCCTCTACTATGTCCTTAAGAGATAATTTATGAGTTTAATAACAAGGAAAATTGCTATAAAAAATTATTTCCCACGTTCTGATAGAAGTATTACAATCGTATAATGTTTTAATTACAATTATTCAAATATTCCCTATTATAACCCTTAATTATAGCTTTAATATATTATCGTATGCTATAATATATTAAATTTTAGTTCACACAGAGGAAAAAATGTATAAGCGAATTTAATTAAAAATAAGTACTTTTCATATTTTAATCATATCAAAATATATAATGAAAAATGGCAACATTTTTTTTTATTATAATAATACAGGTTGATTAATTTATTATGGGCCACTTAATATCTCACTGGGTTTAATTAATAATTGAATTTTTTTTTCATACTGTTTTTATATTATGTGATCTCAATTTTCCACAAATTATTATGTTTTTACCCAAACTAGTTTTTTTGATATCAACTTTGGAATGTATTATTTAATGGCATTTTTAGTAATTGATTTAATTACAAATGTTATTTTTTTCAAATAAATAATTGTCAATACTATATTTGCTCAGCTACCACATCTAAATCAATGTGCAATCAATTTATTTTTAAATTTAAATTCGGCGACTTATAAAATTTATAATTTGACCTATTTTGATGTTATTTAATCAAAAATGTAGAAGATATTATTTTTTATCGGCTTTTTTTAAATTCTAAACCACTGTATGGACGCCACCCAGCAGCCGCTATTTAAAAATTTTTTTTTTACGGTTGAAGGTGGACAAGAATACTAACTTTTACAATTATAATAACAATTACTGGGATTTCTAGTCGAATTTACGGTGTTCGGGTGCGATGGTGATGCACTCCGGTAGACGTAATATTTAAGTATTTTTATTTGTATAATAATTTAATGTTAAACAGCCAAAAGGTCCAAAGTACAGGACAAAAAAAATTGAAAAACATAATCAGTCTATGAATAGGAAACGGGGAGTTCGCACAATTCAAAGGCTATGCAATGATATGAGAAGGATGAGCAAACTGAACACGATACTAGATAAGGAGGGACTACATTAAGAAATTTATTATATTTATTAATATAATGATTTACTATAAATTAAAAGAAAACGTCATCAATAAGTCATTAGGTCGAATAATTTTTTTCCTATCCTGCGTTCAAAATTTATATTACGAAAATGTATAGGTACTCTAAAGCAACTATAAGTATATAAAGTTGATTTTTACCTGTGTCCAGGGCCAGGTTTAACATCTACCGACTCGCCAGGATTTCAGCAGTTACCATAATAATATAACTGTGGCGGACCCGAGGGAGGGGTGATGCGAAGCTCGTGGCTATTTGCTATACACACGGTCACTGTTCGCACGGTCTATGGTATCGTGGGACGACTGCATTAGCTCTCAGTAGTACAGCTCAGTCGTGTTTCAATCGGTAATATAACGAAAATTAAAATTAAAATAAAGAATAATTGACAAAAACAATCGCCGGTCGGTTAATAAAAAATCATGTCGAAGTTCATGAAGATGTTAATCATGGGGCGACTGATCGTGGTCGTTCTTTACTATCGATTTTTGAGTTTGCTTTCAAGACTTGTGGTAAGTCAAACATTGAACTAATCATCATTGCATACAAAAATATAAATTTCTGTCGATACGCCAAAGCACAAAATTACAACTTAACAGTATTTTTATAACTCAGAAATACTTTATTGTGCCCAAAAATGATAAAAGTTTACCTATTCCTATCCAAAACCAAGAAGAAGCCATATGTAAATGACACACGGTAATGACAATAGTTTGCTTAAAATTATATTGTTGGAATTAGGGTCAATACGATTGGGGTTGGTCGTCTGCCAAAAATAATTTGTCATCGTTGGATCGCGTTTATCAATAAAATAAAAATATTTTTCAGAAACATGTTGTCTGTTTTTTTTTCCAAGTGTTTTTTTGAATCCTTATGCGCACGCCATTTAGTTGCATTTCCATGAATATCCCTGGTCGACGGATGGGCATGTGGCATCATAAGCCAACGGCTAGTAAACGACGCGTAAAGCAGCGCGCACACCAAATACGTTCCGTCACGTTACGTCGCAGCTTCCGTTGAGCCGAAAGGTTTGCTTATTATAAACTCTTATGAACAGGCGCACATAGGTTACGTTACGTTACGTCACGTCGCGCTTGGACGCATGACGGAGACGTTAGGAGACGGATAGGTTGCTGTTTAGGGCAAAATTGACGGACGACGGTTGATGACAGCGTCTGAAATTTGTATCTTGCTTTTGTAGTTGCGGCAGCATGTTAAGCAATTCAAAAAACTTTTGCGAACCCATCCGGAAAGTACTTAAAAAATTTTGCTTCATCCTGAAGAAGGTCTGGAAATAGAGTATGGAATTCTCCGTGCTCATTTCTTTTTAAATTTATGTTATGGACCCATAACCTTTTTTTTTTTCTTTCTCTTTCTCTTCTGCAATACACGCCATTACAATAAGTTTCTCGTCGGAAGAAAAGTCCATGGTAAAGTTTTAATAACGAAATTCACTTTAAAAACTATATTATAATTAACAAAACACACATCGCACAGCAACAAATTCAAACGTAGAATGACGATTCTCTGGGAAGGCAACACAAACCAGACGGAAGGAGACGCATCTAGTGTGCGACTTTGCACTGTTCCGTCACGTCACGTTCCAAACCGTCTCCAGGACGTATAGTGACGTGACGTAACGGAACGTACTTGGTGTGCGCGCTGCTTTAAGCCAGTTGTGTGAACATTTCAGACTTTATGACTTAAAAAAGTTTGTCGATAAAGAGATATCAAGAAAAACATTCCATCTCAACTGGTTGAAAGGTTTTTAAATATTTTTTTGGTTTGTCAACTTAATAGATTATTCCGCTCAAATTTTGAGCTATTCGACTATTTATATGAAAGTTATTGCTTGTAGAATTTTTAAGATGAAAAATATGTACATTTTTTGTGTCTCTTACTTGATACTATCTAGAAAGAAGTGACATTTTAAATTTTTGATCAAATTAAGTTATCATCAGGAACGATTTGTCATAGCTATGAACTTGCTATAGGATAGGACTTGCTAAATGAAGAAGTCGGTTCAGTGGTTTAAAGGAAATTGTGGATCCGGTGCTTATACAAATTAAAAATTAAATAAAACCACATAATTTAAAAACAATAATAACTTTCAGATTAGCTCCAAAGCTATAATATTTATAATCATATAAATGATAAATAAAAATATCATTAACTATAAAAACATAATTTTTTAAGTTCAATAAGTGTTTTTATTTTTAACTATTTGAGTAGTATAAAATTATATAATATTATTAATATAATATAATTGTATTATTAAGATAATTACTCATACTAGGATTATATGTGGACGCTTAATTAACGAGTTTCCTGTTTACAGTACAATCGTTATAAATAATGCAAAATCACATATAAAACAAGAATATTTTATTTACATTGTGAAACCAGACAATTTAATTCTGCATTAAATAGAAAAATGTATGAAAATAAGTATATTTTAAACCACTGTACAAAAAAAAATTCTTGTTTAATTATATGACACAATGCAAAAAAACAGACTTTATGCCTTAAACACTTGCTGAAGAGATATAAACAAAAACATTCTACCTCATCTGGTGGAAAAGGTTTTCAATATTTGTTAATAATAAAACCACATAATTTAAAAAACAATAACTTTTAGCTTAGCATTAATACTGGAGGTGAGAACTATTCGTTAGAATAGGGTGACCATAAAAATAAAATAAAAATACGGGACATTTCAAAAAACAAAATAATCTGATGAATAATTTTTTAAATATATAGTAGATACATGAAAACAATTTTATTTTGATATTAATGGTGAACTAGTTAAGAATTAAGATTATACATGTATTATATAAGTTACCTAACTAAATATAATAATATAAAAAAAACAAATTTAAATTTAATTTGTACTGTATCATGTTTTTTATATATAAATAAAATATGGCTAGTAAATATTCGTACGTAAGCAAAAACACAAAAATATTTATTTTGATGACGATGGGTTGGTCTTATTCTGCTATTTTTGTATACTTTTGTGCTGAACTAATTGCATCAAGTAATTTATTTTCTTTTAATAAAATATTATAAAAATCATTGCAAGAATAGTTTGAAAAATGTGTTTTCACTATGATAATTGATTTTATAGTTTCAACTAAAAAACGATTTTTTTCGTCCGTCCATAAGACATTAATGGTAGAAAAAATCCTTTCTTCTGCAGCATTTGTACCCGGCATTGCTAAAGCATATTCTACAATTGCTGATATGTTAGTTGTGTCAATGTTATGAGCTTTAGTGTACTCAAATATTTCACACCACTTAACTTCCAATTTAGCTGAACTTTTTTGCCATTCATTTATTCGTGATTGAAAAACTTGTTCAATATGACTGAATTCGTCAAACAAATTATCTTCAACCAGTTTTCCAGGTTTGTATTATTTTGGTTTTTTTCTATAAGAAATTGTATACACTTTTGAACATTTTCCCAAGTAGGGCAATTTATTAATTGAACCCAACGAAATACTATTAACTCGTCAAAATGGCAACCCCATTTTTCTATGTAAGATAAAAAAGTATTATAAAATAGATCAGTACTTTTTTTGAATGAGTTTTGATCATACATATTATTGTTTTTCAAATCATTTAAAATCGATAAAATATTTGATGTAAGAAAATGTTGATTTTTTCTACTTTTTATTTTTCCAACCAAAATCTCTAATTCCTCTGCAACTTCACATGCTGATATTTTATCTCCTTCTATTTTTGTCACAGTATCACAGACAACTTTGAATTGGCTTTGCAAAAAATAAAACCATACTTTAGACATAGGATCATTAAAAAAAGATTTTAAAATGGTTGGACACTTTTCCTGTTTTTCGAAGTATAATTTTAAACCTTGGTAAATATCAATAATTCTTGTTATGGCCGGTAATAAAGATAGCCAACGAGTTCTTACACTTCCAAGTATGTTTTTATATTCGACATTTGCATATTCGCAAAACTCTTTCAAATGTTCAACTCGAACTGTATAGATATGAAAAAATTGAAAAATGTTGTTCACTATAATTTCTACATCAATAGGTAATATATCAGCACTTGATTGAATTGTATTATGCAAAATATGAGCAGCGCAACCTATCCCATTAATATTCGTTTTTTAATTATTATTTAAGATTGAAAAAATATTTTTTTTTCCTTTTCGTAAAATACCTCCAAAGTTAGTATTGCAATTGTCACCAGAAAATGCAATAATTTTATTCAATAACTTGTATTTTTTCAAACATTCAATTATGTAATTTGATAAAATATCTGCTGTTTCTCCTTTTAAATTTGTCACTTCAAAAACTTTAATTTGTACTCCCAGATTTGGATTAAAATAACGTAATAAAATGGATACGATTTTCAGATTTTTATGGTTAGAAGTATCTATCATGATAGTAGCAAAATTCATATTTTCTAATTCCTTACAAATCTGTTGCATGGCGAAAGGAGCTAGCACATTTAAAACAATCGATTCAGCCTTAGTTCGAGCACAAGTGAATTTTTTATTATAAATTTGTTTTAAAAGAGATGATGTGCAATCCATCGATCGAAATGAGTGATTGTGTACAACTGTATGAAATGCGAATATCCCTTCTTGTGCCTCGGTACGTCTACTTTCGTCAGTGGATCCACTCGGATTATTCTTTAAAAAAAAAGAAGTTACCTTTTCATTTTTCGATGCAGCTGATAACGCCAATAAATGTTTTTTCACTTTTGTGGTATGTTGTTTTCTATCTGAAAGTCCACCATGTTCTTTAGAAAATACCGATTTACATATTGTAAAAAACACTTTTCCAACTTCATCAGCATCTTTTAAAAAAGGAAATTCGGATTTTAAATTTGGAGCAAAAACACACCTCCTTTTCGGCATTGTGAGAAAAAAATAAACAAACTGTATATTTTAAATGACACCACTACGACTGAACACTATTACTACGACGGACAAAATGTAGACTGAAGGAGTACAAATATTATAACAAATAACATTTACAATGATACATAGATCTAATAATATTGTAGAAAACGAACTGGCCGCGACCAGTGAGATTGTTCTAATAATAATCCAATGATATCAAAATATACGAAAATATAACACTATTATGGTATTATGACATTATATACGTTTTATATCACCGACAACAATGTGACGCAACAATTATAATCAAAATAAGAATCAAAAAATACCTACCACTGAAAAATAATAGATTTTAATATTCCATATTGAATAATGTTGTACAAAAATATCGTAAACAAAACGATTTTATAGTAAAATAAATTTCAGAAATTATAAATTAACGGTATGGAAAAAACGGCATTAATGCGGGACGGACTTGGAAAAACGGGACAAAATGCGTCCCGTATTACTTTTGTCGGGACACAAAGTTGAAATACGGGACAATCCCGTATAATACGGGACGTGTGGTCACCCTACGTTAGAAGCCAAACTTTAAGATGGTTCCCGACATCACCCGACATTGAAATTTCCAAGCCTTATACTATACTTATAATAAACTGAATAAAAAAGTTATTAAAGTTTCAAGTTTAGGACATGAGGAAAGGTGAAGGTATTATTTTAATCTGCGCGCATTTCCCAACCGCACTTCCCCTCCCATCCTAACTTAAAAACTCTTAAAACTTTAAAAATAGTTATCCCAAAATGGTTATCCACTAGTCAACATTTTTAATACATTACTCTCAATTTAAAAAGTTAACAAAATATATACGTTACCATTTTAGTTTCAAAAGTGGCTATAAAAAAACCAAGTTAGGAGGGAAGTAAAGACAAAAAAATTGTGAAAATTGAGGTCATATTGAATAAAAACAATATCAACAAAAACATTTAATTTCTTATTAAACCCACCCGTATTGAACACAGATTTTTTTGTTGTTTAGCCGAGAAGAAAAGTGATTATTAATATCAAACAAGGAGCTCTACTAGGTCAATATTACAAGACCTGCCTGTCGAACAAACCATTTGTCAGTTTTTTAGGGATACCCTATGCTAAGCCGCCCATCGATGAATTAAGATTTAAGGTAATAAGCAGTATGTTGCTTGTAATTTATACCCAGAAAAAACTTATTTACTAATAACTTTGTATAAATATAACTAATTATTGTAGCCACCAGTCAAACACCCTGGATGGACCGGAGTTTACAAAGCTTTTTCAGAAAAAAGAGAATGTGTACAATACGATGAAATGATAGAGAAAAAAATTGTCGGAAGCGAAGATTGTTTATACTTGAACATATATGTGCCGCAAGTACGTAAAATAAAAAACCGCGTTATCAAATTAATGAATTTCAATAACATTATTTTAAATTTTTTTTCATAGGAGTTAAATGAAATGAAACCTGTAATGGTGTTTGTGCATGGAGGTGCATTTAACTACGGTTCAGGATCGCCAGACTTATATTCCCCAGACTATTTAATCGAAGAAAACGTAATCTTGGTCACGTTTAATTATCGCCTTAATGTTTTAGGTAAAATACTAAGAGAATTCAGGAACCTTATATTCACGTTACATAAATATTTAGTTAACATATATTTATATGTTTGATATTTTATTTGGGTAATTCATAATTATACAATTTTTTTTAACAAAAAAGGATTTCTAAATTTGGATATCGATGATTGTCCCGGAAACATAGGGTTAAAAGATCAATTGTTTGCATTTAAGTGGGTAAAAGAAAACATATCAGCATTTGGAGGCGATGCCAATAACATAACAGTTTTTGGCGAGAGCGCTGGATCAGCGTCGATCCATTACCATATACTCTCTGCATCATCGAAAGGTAAATGTTTTTTTATACTCTAAGGCTGCTAGATACTATCAAAATAGTTTTTTGGAATCGGGTGATTTAGGTGTGTTCCAAAGGGCTATTATGCAAAGTGGTTGTGTTCTTAATCCTTGGGCATTTACTTCGAAACACAAAAACGCTGCGCTTAAAATAGCGGCGGATTTGGGTTGTCCGTCAGACGATCCTCACAAAATAGTACAATATTTAAGAAAAGTTCCTGTAAACGACTTGGTAAAGGCTTCTATGTTCAAATCTACATTTCAAGTACGTATTTACGTGAAAATATTACTATAGCAAAATAACTGTGATTGAATTTACGATAATACTTCAAACATCGAACGTTCAACTTCAATAAAATCTATTTAATAATTAATGGAAACAAACTACAGTAACAATATTTGTTTTATATTAAAATATAAATTGTACAGTAGGTCAAATATTTTTTTTTATTGGCCGAAAATATAATTTTTTTTTTGACGTAGGGCCAAAGAGAAATTTTCATTTACCAATTTGTTCCATCCATTGAAAGCGATCAAGTTAGTGAGAGATTCATACCAGCTCATCCAGAGGAGCTGTTGAAAACAGCCTCTTCAATTCCTTTAATATGTGGACTTAACGACAGAGAAGGAATGTTTATGTTTAAAGGCAAATAAGTTTCTTTATTAATTTTGCATGAAATACCGTAAAGCTCCATTAATGAATAATGTGTTACTTGTATAATTAGTTAAAAGACTAGACAGGCTTATATCACTTATAAAAAATATGTACAATGCGATAAAATAAAATGTAAAAGTTTAAATAATTTTTTAAAATTACATAATATAATGCTTGTCTGATCATCACCAGCCACATGTAAAATGATATTTGTTAGGTTGCTGCAAATGTAAACTAACAAGACATAATTCACGTTATTGTGCTACAAATTATCATCATCGCCGATTTAATGTAATTGCTTTAGTGCTTACATTTTATTTTATATTCTCCTTAACTAAGTTCAACTGTATGTTTTGGTTTTGAGTTCATGTTGTTAGTACTTTTATCATATGAAAACTGAATAATTAAAAGATTTTATCAGTTAGTAGCATACAATTTTATATATTTTAATCGTTGCGTCATGAATGATTATTATTATTTTTTTAGATTATAAATCGAGACAAATAATGAGTTTTAATAAAGTCGAAGAAATAAGTAAATTCCTCGATGACGATGCCAAATATGATGAAGTCATAAATAAGATCCAATCGTTTTACTTTAATGGTCACGATTTCCAAACTAAGACTGAGGAATTAGAAAGTATTTGCGCGGTAATTTTTTTATTTATTTATTTAGCGGGCTTGATCCCAATAGAATAAGAGTAAAAATAACACAACGTATAGATAAATTAACAGCTCAGTAACTTACATTATAATTTATAATACACGAACAAAAAAAAAACAAAAAGACAAAAACAATTTTACACATAATGGGTTATAGAAAGCTTAGGTGCTCATTGCTAAGACGCATCATTCGATGGATAGTATGGTTCCTACCATTGTTCGAGTTGTGAAACGGAACAACAAACTGAAAGTTAGATCTAGTGGCACGAGAAGGGACTTTAAAATATATTTGGGAAAGGAGAGAGAGAAACATTCAATTCGTCCATCATTCAACTTTCGCAAAAACACCAAGTTTGCTTCCAATCTTCTGTCAGCTAGGGAAACCAGTCCGAGCTTATCCATAACTATACTGTAGTCATAAGGAGGGTGGGTACTTTTTAGAATAAAAGCTGCTGAAGAGCAAAACCACCTCTGAACTCGCTCTAAATGAGAGGAGTCAGCCGTCGTAAAGGGGTCCCAAAGGACAGAACCATATTCCAAAAGAGACCTTACAAGAGAGCAATAGACAATTTTAAGCGAACTAGACAACTTTAATTGATTTGATGTACGTATAATAAATCCTAACACCTTAAGCGCTCTATAGCAAAATGATTATATATGGGAGTGGTAGTTTAGATCCGGGTTAAAAATAATGCCCGTCTTTCTTACAAGAAACTGCATCAATATTAGAACCAATGATCAAGTACGTCTTGTTAATGGTAGATCTACTCCTTCAATGAATTGAACTTTTAAAATAAAGTTCTTAAGTATGAGTACTTTATTTTTACGTTTTGTCTGTAAACAAACATTTGTGTTTAGAATATTAAAAGTGTAACAAGTTATAAGTCGAAATAGACTTCTAGATGTTAATTTTTTGTAATGATGATAATAATCTATTATTTAAAACATTTTTTCAGCTATTCACTGATGTTTTTTTCGCCAAAGATTTCTACAAAGGATTCAACGACTTAATCGTAGAAGGCATTACACCCGTTTACAACTATGAATTTAAATTTGACGGAGAACTTAATCCTAAAAAACTTTTTTTTTGTACAAGACCGAAATTTCTCACCTTAAAAGGTACACATTATCAGTTTTATAATTTTTGACATAACTCAAACAACTTAATTTTTTGGTTAATTTTACATTAAAAAAATCGTTTAAAAAACTTTTTTAAGCGTTTTTAGACTATTGGTCGTTTTTTATGTAGTTGGTTATGTTTTTAAATTACACTTTTTTTAATGTAAATAAATAGGTATTGCATCAAATCCTTCCTCGTTATAAAATATTTGGTGTTTCTTTTGAAAAATGATATTTCGCTCATTATTCAGAGTAAACGATCAATGTCGAATATTATTTAAAACTATGTATCGACAGGAGCGTGTCACGGTGATGAAATGTGGTATTTATTCTTTGGTAAATTTATTGCACTCATGCCTAAACCAAATTCTAAAGAACTAAGTGTGTGCAGAACAATGTGTAAATTATGGACTAACTTTGCAAAAACAGGGTTTGTTATAGGTGTTTTTTTTATTACACAACAACTGTTGAAATAAAACAATTTTACTTTTAGAAACCCGAATTCATCAGATCTTAATGTCAAATGGGACTTTACAAGTTTGGAAAAACCTAAGTATCTTTCAATTGACGGCGACGATACTCATATGGTCGAGGGCCAAGTGAACGAAGCCAGAGTAAAATTTTGGAAACACTTAGACGAATTAGTAAAATTAAATCAAAAGCTGTGATGTTCTGCGATAAATGTATATTATTAGTATTAATTATTTATTACTTTTAGGTGATTATGGGTATAATTATGAATTTATTTGTATAACTACTATTCTTATAATATCCTTAAAATATATATTGTGTTAAATGTTTATTACATTTTGTTGTGACTTATCGTCTTTATCTATAATTTGTATTATACTTATACTCTATTCAGAATAAGAACAGGCTTCGGCGGCCGACCAGTTTTCGTCGGTTGGCAGTCAGGCACCGCCCATTTTACATTTCGTCTGTAGCCCCACCGGCGGCAGTGTTCGAGGTCCGTTGCTCGTAGTGAAGCCACGCCCATGCGCACAAGTCAGCTGCCGAAGACTGTTCTTATTCTGAATAGAGTATATGTAGTTTGTTGCCTGTTATCTTTATTGACATCGTCGGTGGAGTACTCATTACTTTTTTCAGCTCCACATCTTCAAATTCGAGAACATTATCGTTTTCTTTAGATTCGTCTTCCTGGTCACCCATAATACCAAAACTTCTGTAAAATAATTTGAAAGTCTTTACTTTTATTTTTATTTTATACAAACAAATACATACATACTACCTAAGAGCTAACACCTTTATTTTAGAAAATCGTATTTATCTAATTAAAAATGTTAATTCAATTGAACTCAAATTAAGTTGTGATATACTTAAAAGGAAATATATTCACAAATATTGACTGTTGTTGGTATAGCCCATACTTAATATCGTTCTCAACAATATTAATATTATATTGTGGTTTGTATCCATATCAAAATAATCGAATTTGCATTTATTAAAATTATATAATATACTATTGGAAGTAGTTCTTGCCAAAGCTGAATCGGAAAGATAGGACACATTGATATATACCGTCAAGTCCACACCAAGTGTAAGCAATGAAAAACGCAATTGGGGCAAACTAGTCAGTAAAAACGCAAAATACGATGACGACAACGATTTCAATAGTTTATTTAGAAAAATGTATTCTGAAGGCGGCGATGAAGTGCGAAAATCTATGTAAAAGTCTGTTTATATTGTGCTGGATTCTTCCTATTTCAAGGTTCGCATCTAAGCGTTTAATTTTGATAAAATCACATTTATACTTAATAATTTATATAAACCAACTTTGCAAACCTCTTCTGTGCTGGTTTATACATTGCTTAGTTTTTAATATTTTTTTTCAGTTTAACTATAAAAAATTTAGTTTAAAAAAAGTTCGTTATTTAATACAATTGGCTGCATGTCTAAAATATATCACTGGCTAGTTACCAAAATTCAAAAATTACTAATTACAAAACCTTAATAAAAGTGTACAAAATTTGGACTGACGATCATTGAAGGTTTTTTAAATTTAATTCATTGAACCTTATTGAATTATATTAATAAAATTGTATTATGTTATGTTTTGTAGAATGATGTAAAACTTTTTATTGTCTAATATAAATAATCAAAATAAAGTATTAACATTTTAATAAAATATGACCTCTACTATATCCTTAAGTGTAGCTTATGATTTTATGAATAATGCAAATTGTTTTAAATATTTATTACCTACGTTCTGATAGAGTTATTACACTTGAATAATGGTTTATTTATAATTATTCAAATTTTTCATAATCTTATCTTTTATTATAGTAACTAGTCATATTAGCTTTAATATATCATCGTATCCTATAATATATTAAATTATAGTTAGCACAGACAAAAAAAATGTATAATACATTTGAATTTTTAAAAAAAAGCCAGTACAGTCGGGTCGGGGCATAGTGGGAACGGAGAGGTCACAGGTCTACAGATTTTAGTATAACTGAAAGTGATAAAATCACTTTTAAATAAACGCTTCGATGCGAATCTGTGGATAGTATGTTCAAATCAGTGGGACCGGCAATAGTGTACTTAAAATTTAATATTTTGTCTTGTGCAGGGTGGATACGATAAGGGTTGATCGTCTGTCTATAAAAATGTACTGTCATAGTTACCCATAAATCGTAATTAACAATATAATACAAATATTTTTATTACCTGTTGACTGTTGATTCACTCACACATAGCAACCTAGAAACTGACTACGACCTAAGTGTAAATTTACCCTATTTTTGGCGTTTTTCCTTAATAAAAAAAAAATTGACTACAGATTTTTGAGAAAATTGTATATGTTATAGATCCATTTTAGATCTACCTTCGGTCTAATTTTCAGATCTAAATCTCTAAAACGTTGCTTGAAAAAGTGAAATAAAGAAAAAAGTTCTATCCCTTCTAGGGGAAATGGTTTATGGTATTTTTTTGGTTTGTTATCGATAGTACTATGTTTGAAGAACAATCCACATAAATTTGGAACATTTTCGAATATTTTTAAAAAAGTTATAGAGAATCGTAATTTTAAGTTGCAAAATTTGTAAATTGTTTAGGTGTTTTTCTAAATTTTGATGGGGAAGGGGTGACTTATTTAATTGTTGGCCACTTTAAAGTACCTAACAGGTATGATTTCTGATCTATAAAATTGCTACACGAAAAAATCAGTTTAGCGGTTTACAAGATATCGTGGGTCCAGACACAAAAATTAAAAAAATTAAAAAAAAACACATCATTGTAAAAACAATACCTTCTCAACTCCGCATCGAAGCTAAAAATAAAAACACATTGTAAAAACAATACCTTCTCAGCTACGCATCTAAGCTAAAAGTAATCACTATTCATGTTAGTTTTAATTACTAGATCTAAACAATGAGCCAAACTATTCAGAAATTACACAATATTGGTAATTTAAATTCCCACGTGTACATACATATATCATCGTATGTGATAATATATTAAATTATAGTTCACACAAAAAAATGTACATTCTAATAGAAAACATTTTATATTTAAATCATCGACATATATTATTTGATTTATTAATATTTATTTTATTGTAATAACATATAGAATCAAATTAATAAAATTTTCATCGGTTATTTTCCTAGATTCCATTAGAGTGATGCGCGCAGATAAAAAAAATATATACTACACTTCACCTTTCATCCAGCCCTAAATGTTATACCACAATAACTTAAAAACTAAAATTAAAATAAATATTCAAAAACCTCAGAAAATTTTTCACAATTAAAAATGTTGAAATAATTAATATGTTACCATTTACAAGTCTTGAGTTCATTAGGATTTAACACAAACGATGTTAGGTCATATTTTTACATGAAATAAAGTTAACAAACTAATAACTGGTTAAGGACTCCATATATAAATACATTGTATACAAACAAACAAATATCAATTTATGTTTGGCAAATATTTTAAACATTGATTAAGGATGTATAAGTAACATTAATATTTAGTATGGAATTTGTACATTAAATTTACTTATATAGTTATAGTTATATAAAATATTATAATAAAACATTCGATTGTATGTTTTCTATGGGTATGTCAATCATTAAAAAACAAATGGTTTTGCTTTTATTACTAACAGACTTGTGAAAACACTTCTGATATTAATTTATACGATATACTATAAATTAAAAGAAAATGTTACCAATAAGTCATTAGGTCAAATACTTTTTTCCCTACCTATCGTGAAAGCCCGTTTGGAAAAAAAAGGATTTTGAGAAAATTGCGTTTAAAGTTTGTCATGCGAAAATGTATAGATACTCCAAAGTAAGTGTAAGTATATAAAATAAATTGTTATCAGTGTCCAGGGCCTGATTTAACAACTACCGAGTAGGTAGGCAGGATTTCAGGAGTAATCATAATATAACTGTGGCGAACCCGAGGGAGGGGTAAGGCAAAGCGGATGGCTATCTGCTATACACACGGTCACGGTCCACGCGGTCAATAGCATTGTGCAACCAGTGTATCGACTCTCAGTGATGCAGCGCGGTCGTATTTCGTTGGGTAATAGAAGAAAAATTCAAAGTTTTTACTTTTTATTAACTTTTTATTAGAGTTAATAAAAAAAAAAACAATAGCCGGACGGTAACATTCAAAAATCCACGACGAAGTTCACGAAGATGTTAATCATATGGCGACTGACCGTGGTCATCATTTACAATAGATTTTTGGGTTTCCTGACGAGGCTCGTGGTAAGTCGAACATTGCGCCAATCCATCATTGCATGTACAGATATAATTCAACGGTGATACAACTAAAGCAATAATATACAAGTTAGCGATATTTTCATAGCTCAGAAGTACTTAATTGGCCCGAAAATTAAAAAAGTTCATCACTTCCTGTTCAAAACTTAGAAAAACAACGGCAAAATGTTTTCTTTTTTAGTTGTAATTTCGAGGTTGACTTCTGCCTTTTTTTAAATACCGATCTAAAGCCAGGTTTACACTAAGTAGTACTCGATCGAGTTACTATAGCAAGTTGCTAATTTTTTTATTGCTTGAAAGATGTGGAAATATCATTTAGTAGTAATTTCAGTGTCGCTTCTAGTAAACATTTTAGTCGAGCGATTAGAAATCATCTCTATTTTTTTACCAAGTTGGTATTTCCACTAGCACTTGCTTATCTACTAAACCATTGTAAACACCACTGCCGCTGATAATTTTAGTTAAAACAGCGCGATTATACGTTATCGCGTTATAATAAAATACTTTATCACTCATCACTATACAAATATTGTCTGTGTTTTTTTGTCGAGGCGTTACATAATATATTTGTATTGGAAGTTAATAATTAAATATAAAGCCATAAGCTTAATGAAGATACGACCCTTAAGTTTGTAGAAGAATATCGACAGCACGAATGTCTTTGGATTTTTCATTACAGCTTCCTATCTAGTTCCTCTTTTATAAAATTTAATAATTCCTCGCTAATCATCTAATCACTAAGCATCGTTTTGATATTAACGTCACTGTTTTTGCTTTATCCATATTTTTTAAGTATATTATATTGTATTAGTTATAATATTATATATTAACTGTGAACCCTAATAACCTAAAACACATTTAAAAAAACATTTTTTTTTACTTTCGCCCGACTAAATATACTACTAGAATGAAGAACTTATAATTTTACTATACCGTGTATAGACATTAACTAGATTCAATTTAGTACTTGATTTAGCAATTTGCTTTAGTAACTCGGCCGAATAC